CGAAAGGCTTCACCCGCCCCGCCCGGACGTGGGCGAGCCGCCCGCCTGACGCTCGGGTCTGCTTGCGTTTTGCAGGATCCTGCCCAAGCTGGAGTGGCTTCCCCAGCCGCCCCTGGGACCGGGAAGTCGAAGGTGAGGAGAACGCCTGGCCGGCAGGCCCCCTCGGGAGTGGGAGCGGGGCGGCCTGTTTGGTGTTTTCTTCCGTAGCCCTGTTCCGGGAGAGCGCAGTTTTAATGGGCACAGTCATCCATCTATTTCCTGCTCTTTTTTTTTTTTTAAAGTTTCCCGCTATAGAAAGACATGACTTTTTGTTTACTTCCTGCTGCTGGATCGCACCGCCGAGGAGATCCTGCAGCCTTTGCAGACATTGAACCGAGCAGTCTGGTTCCTGAAGGTTGATGCCGTGGAGTAGTGGAAGGAACCGTGACGCAGGGTAGAAACCAAGGGGCTGTGTTCTGTGAGCTCCAGGTCCTCCACTGTGAAAAGACAGTTGAACTAGTCCGGTCTTACGGCCCTGTACTCTGTTTGGCGTTCAGTGGTTCGGAAAGATAGTGGCTTGCCGCTAAGGTTTGTCGTTGGGCTGCTGAGTTTCAGGCACTTGTCGAAGCCCTGCGTTCAGTTACTTGAGCCATTGCCTGCTGAGCTACGGTGTGGCTGGCCGTGTGCTCTTTGCGCTGTGGCCAGGCCGTGTCTTCTTAAGCTTTGGCCCCCTCCCCTCCCTCTTTCTCCAATTTGCTTTCTAAATAAATTATGTTTTCTAAACTAAAAAAATGAAAGCTTCATGGTAACCATGAGATAGGTTCTGTTGTTGTCTTCATTTTACAGATGAGAAAACTGAGACCTCAGGGGTGAAGCAATTTTCCCAAGTGGTAAAGCTTAATTTTTGTGTTAAAGCCCACCTGGTTCATTTTGCTGCTGTACTTATGCTTAAATTTTAATGTGACTAAACACTTCTTACAGCCTTGAATAGAATGAAATAATTTTACAGCTCTAAGGAATTTTGAGTAGCATTAGTTTTCTTCCTAAGTTTACAATTAAATCAAAACCTAAAAATGGTCAACTTATGACATTTGTGAGAGGATATGTGCTTTTTTTACATTTCATAGTAGTTCTGTAACTAATGTTTACGTTTTTAGTGTTTGCATAACTAATAATTATTGAGTTGTGGTTACATTTGCTGATTTTTAAAAATATGGAACAAAATTAGCATAGAGATTTCAGTAGAATGTGTTTATTTTTAGGCGGACATTATGTTTCTTTTTTGTGGTGTACTAGAAACATGAGTTTTAACAAGTTGGTAACATGACCACATCTTTCAGCTGGAAATACTGCCCAAGGAAGATCTCATCAAGTTTGCCAAGAAGCAGATGATGCTAATACAGAAAGCTAAATCAAGGTGTACAGGTATTGGGTTGAAAATATTCATTTTGACTACAGTCTCATTTAATCATGGAGAAAATGGGGGTTTTTTTGGTCTTCTAGTGATTCCAAATACATCTTAGGCTGTGTAGTAGAATGTTAAGTAACATTCTAACCATTTATTTCTGATTTATGTATTCTCTCACATCTTTAAACTGCAGTTACTTTTGAGTGATTAGAATAAAGTCAAGGAGAGGGATTTTTAAAAATGTGTTAAAGTTAGGCATTTTTTCCTTGATGTGGATTTTTAGATTCTTACAAGTAAAGCATTTTTTAAAGTCATTTGAAATAATAGAGACACACGGGAGTAAGCCCAAAGAGATAAAAAAGAATCCTCAAGTAAAGTAATAAAAGATTTCTATTCATGGAAATTTGAGGCATATTTATCTGCTGAAGTTGATTGATTCCCTATTTGGTTTCCTTTTCTTTTTAGTCCATAAGGAAAAAAAGATGTCTTTTTTTAGTATATGTGCGTGAGCTCTTGATTTCCATTGACTTTCAAATTTTAACTGTTTCGCCTAAGAGCCAAGATTTATTTACTAGAAAAGGTCAAATTACATTTTGGGAATTTGGATCATCCTGTGATAAAGAGAATACTTTTTTTAGGAGGATGTTCTAGGCTTGAAGTCTAGATATGTGATAATGAAATGCTCAGACTAACATTTATGCTTAATAAATGTTAATGTGGGGGTTTTACTTTAAGATTATATAGTAAGAAATACAGGTGAAATCATGTGATGTCTGGGATGTGCTTCACAATTATCAGGATGAGTAAGAAAAGCCGGCTGGACTTGGTGGCTCAGCCTGTCATCCCAGCACTTTGGGAGGCTGAGGTGAGTGGATGACCTGAGCCCGCGGGTTCAAGACCCGCCTGGGCAACTTGGCG